ATTGGAATGTATCGGAATGTATTGGCTTTACTTTTCATACTCCCCAGGATGACCCGATACATTCCGATACATTCCAATACATTCATTTTCAATCAAGAAGAACAATCAATATTTTATGTCTAAATATATAGTTCTTGTAAAATTTCAAAGATAGATTGAAACCATAATTTGGATGATGTATTGAAGTTTGGCTCAATTTTTCTAATAGAGATCTAGTCGGATCTGATCTTCATGATGAAGTGGAGGCCGAAAACGCCGCCGTGGCGGTAAAGATAAAGAATACTATGCTAAATGGTCGAAACCATTTAGCAAAAAAACATGGCTAGCTGCTTGAAAGAAAAAAGGAAAGCGGCCTCACGGCCGCTCTGCTGCATCAGAGCGTCCCTTAGGCCGCATAGAATTGTTTTATAAAACTTGTATATGTTCAAGAGAAAACATAGGAAAAAAACATAAGAAACCACATATTTTAGACATATCTAAGTTTTACTTATTTCCTGGGTATTTCTAGGTAATTTCTAACTATTTCTAGCTATTTCTAGCTAATTTCTACTTAGTTTCTACTTATTTCTAGCTATAAGTAACTTATGTTATAAGTTCAATAAGTTCACTTGATGTACCTCAGCTAGCCTCAAGTACCAAAAGTCACGAAGTATCTTTGCCATAACCCTGGCACCATGCCGCCGCAATGGAGGTCCGGCCATGCATCGCACGGCCGCATCCACGGCTTCGGGATGAGCTGCGGCTCTTGCAGGGAACTGGTTTTCGGTGGGTTTGCACCCAACAAATCTGCCAATCCATACGTTTCTTCTTGGTGCTGGTATTCTCAGTCTCATCCAAAATCTGTCAAAAACCATTCCGACAAAGGTGCCTTGGGCGTCTTTGTCTTTAAGGAGCCAACATAGAACTTGCAAATTTTCTCAATGCTCTAAAGTGGCTCCACATTTGACTATGTCCCCATGTGGAAAGCGTGTTTCTAGGACCTCCCAGCAATGATCTGGGTTATCCAAATATATCCAAATCAGGTCCTTGAGCTTCTGCATCAGCTTGCTCACTGTATGTAGAAGCGCCACCTTGGCTTCCCACTCAGGTTGCGCAAACAAACAGTGGCGCTCGGCATTTCAAGCCCACACGCCTGCCCCCTGAGTGAATGCAAGGTGCTGACACTCCAACGTGGTGATTGGGCCAAGGCTTCAGGCCTTCACCTCCAGGCACAGCGAGCTGCCAGAACTTGTTTCCAAAGAAAACCGAGCGCCAAAAAAGGTAGCTCGGAACACAAATCGCCTGCAGGACTGGCACATTGAACTATTGCATTCAGGCCAGGGACACAATTCGCAGTCCAAGAACTCCAGCCAGAGTGCCAGCTGGGAGGCTTCGTACTTCACCCAAGGCAAAGCTTGACAGCTGCTTGGATCAAATCACTGATACGCGATGGAAGTCTATCAGGCCAAGATGCATCCTTTCACCCCACATACTTCTGGCACATCAGGAGGATGAGCTTTCGCCATCACAGGAGAATGGACAAAATGCACTCCCTATCCTTCAAGATCGAGATTGAACAACATATGGTACGTAATTCAATGTATCAATAAGGATGTTTTTTTCCGGGAATTTTCTGATTTTTGTTGAAAATTGTTTTCACGTTTTTTCCCCTACTGTTTTTGCTTTTGCTAGGAGCAGCAGAAAGGGCAGGGGACGAAGCACCAAAGCCAGCGTGACAGTGACAAAGGGAGGGAACAGAAAAGGTATTCCACTTACTAGGGACTTCTTTGCGGTTATCTTTAGCTTCACTGGTTTCGGGTTTCTTTGGGCTCGGTTTCTTGTCTTTAGGGTTTCTTTAGGCGTTCTTCTGGAAAAGGCATCCCACTTAACGAAGGAGAAGTAGGAGGAGAGAGGAACTATAATAGTGACTTTTCTGCGGTTGTCGTTGGGTTTCAGCGGTTTCGGGTTTCTTGGGGCTAAGCAAAGTAGAAATCCACCTTTGTGGCAGCGTCAACGCAAAGAAAATAGTAGTTGCGGTAACTGTGGTAAGACTCGTAGCGGGGTGGTCTGAGTGATAGAGGTATTGGAAATAGTAGGGGTGGTGGACGGTAGTGGCAACTATTAAAAAAGAAAAATTAAAAGCGGGACGGGGTGCGGGGGAGGGCGCAGCGCCTCCCCCGCAATGCAAATCAAATATAGACAGCGCTGGGCTGCTTCGTTTCTTGATTGGTGTAATTGGGTGTCAAAGCTCAAGGTGAAGATCTTATCATCCAACTTTGTGGCAGTGTCAATGCAAAGAAGATAGTCAGCAGAAGCAAAAGCAAAAGCAAAGGCAGAAGCAGAAGCAAAAGCAAAAGCAGAAGAAAAAGCAAAAAGCAAAAGCAAAAAGCGAATGCATAAGCAAAGGCCAAAAGCAAAAAGCAAAAGCAAAAGCAAAAGCAAAAACAAAAAGCAACAGCAGTAGGGGACAAAACACGAAAACAAATCCCGGAAAAACCCTGAAAAAAATCCCGGAAAAATAGGGGTTCCAGTGGGTGGATTCCTGATTATAGATCAAGTATAAGGGATTTAGTCTATGATCAATGTCTCTATGAACCGAACATAAACATAACACATAACTAATACATGCATCTTCTTTTCAGAAACTTCCATATAGGGCATGAGCCGCACGATTTTCCGCATGCATTAATTGCCACCAAATACACTTGGGCATTCAAATCCTCCGAGTTGCTGGTGTTGATTAGGCCCCTCTCCAAGCCAATTCGACACCCTCGTCTCCAGGCCACATCCTGCAAGACTAAAAAACTCGTCTTCCGTGAGGGCAACGGACTTCTCCTATCCCGTGGCAAAACGGGGTATAGCGTCCCACGGCCGTGGGTCACGGATGAGCCACTCAGCTCACCTACACTGCACCCTACTGTGAAACCCAAAAAAAAACGAGCACGTTCCACCTGCGGTCGCCTTTCGCTCCACGCACCGCGCTCCGCGATCCTTCACCGCGATTCCCTCCCGCGAGCCGCGAACCGTCTACCGCGCCTTGTAGAGGGCCGCGCGCCGCGCCTGGTCCCAACGGATCCGTTGATCCAACTCCACCTGCGGTCCGACCGGACAGCGGTGCGGACTGGAGGACGCGGCTGTTCCACGGCAGGAGCGGAGGCCGCGCTGTTTGTTCAGGGACGGGTCCTGGGTCCTATTGCACATAAAGAATGCGGTGAACACGAAGATCTCATCAGAATGTTGAACAGAACACTGTAAGTTAGTGTGCCAACTAGATACTAAATCGAAGAAGATTGACGGACTTGTTGGAGCTCCGCTGGATGATGAACATGCAAGAAGAATTTGGTACTCTAGGAACTTCAAAAAGCAGGCACTGACCTCGTTGAACGAGCCACGCGAAAGTCAGGAAGTCGGTCCGTCCTATTTAGGCTAGATATGGCATCACTTTTTTTTCACTTCATATTCTGATGGGGTAGTCATGGGCAGTCTATATGAGTCATGACTGGATCTTCCATCAGCAAACAAACACCACTTCCCACTTCCAATTGATCTTCCAAGTGCACCCCACTTCTTTCCCTCCGCTTCCATCGCCCGACCCGTCTTCTCCCTGCTCCGCGCTCGCCTGGAGGCGCGAGAGGTCGTAGGTCTCTGCGAGGTTGGCGATCCACAACTTGGGCTCGGTGTGCGCCAGCAGCACCGCCGAGGCCGCGAACCTGGGGGACGGTGCCGCGAACCTTGGGTGGCTGGGATGGTGGTGGAGACGAGGAGACATGGCGGGGGTGGTTGAGGTGGTGGACTGTGGGAGAGGAGGTGGGAGAGGAGGTGGGTGAGTGAGGTGGGAGGGGTGAGAAGTAGTGAAGTCAGAGTTCCACTCTGGGCATCTGTGTAGGGAAAGGTTAGTAGCTGATGGTATTCTCAAGTGAATTGGTGAGTGGAGCTAGGAGCTGAGGAAGAACAGGTATAGAGAATGTAGAGAGCATCGTCTCAGCATCTTCTCCAAGTGCTTAGCGATCGCCCAAAGAGATGGAATTGATCAGGCGAGGCCGCTGCAACTTCCGTCTTTCCCCACAGACTTCGGTGGGATCCCTGCAACTCATCACTGGATCCCTAAGAATCTGGGCCTCTCTGGGCCCGTTTTTTCACATGGAAAGGGTTTGGTTCGGATCCACACCCCTGCCAAGAGGTCGGGTCTCAGGATTCTTAGGGGTGCTTTGGCCTCCAACTCCAACGGAGCCACCGGCGGCCGGTAGGGGAAAGCCAGAGTTTGAAGCTCTGAAAGGCAATATGAGTGGATGCTTTGAGAGAAGAGTTTAGAGGCACCCGACTCGACCCTTTCATGGCTTTCTATCCCTCAAGCGTCTCCAATTTTCCACGGTGAAAGCCAGAGCAAGCTTTCATCAGCACAGCCATGGGAATGAAAGACTCACATGCCAAGTAATTCGGGACTGCAGGTATAGGGGATCGTGGGGGACATGGACCCACCAAGACCGCAGTAAACATCGAAGCATGAGTTCATATATGTTGGGTACATCGGTACATACCATTCCTTGTAACAGATGAAGCTGATGATGATGGTGATGATGATTATTATTATTATTACTATTATGGTTTATGGTGAAGAAGAAGATGATGATGATGATGGTGATGATTATGGCTAGGTTGCATGTCTTCCTCCCAAATAGTCATTGTTCTTCTTTTCCTCATTCTTTACAGGTGTCCTAGTCCCCCACCCCATGTCTTCCTCGAAATCAATGCCTGCCCACCGGTGACCGGTCCCGTGCTGGGATCCGGCACCCTCCAGCTTCCACCAGGCTGCGCACGGTTCGTTCCAAGATCTCTTCGGTTCCCTCGGAACGGAAAGAACGGCGGTCCTGGCGCCTGAGGTGTGTGGTGTGGGGCGGGGGATCGGGGGATGTTCATAGATCGATGTTCATTGTTCATGGTCAGGGAGTGAATGGAAGTGAATGGATATGGTCAAAGAAGTCCAGAGAGGTGTGCTGTTGGACGCCAAGGAATGCATCTCGAAATGCTTAAGTTTCCAGGGTCCAGCTCGCAGGCAGGACACTGCAGTGTCCTGCCTGCAGGACACTACTGGAATGACGGGTCGCGTCGACCGGTGATGTAGCATCTGTGCGTGTCCCTTGGCGAAGTGGACAAATACAGGCGGTTTGAAGACTTCACTTCCATGTAGAGAATAATAGAATGTACACATAATGAATGTATATACAATCATACATGCACCCTCCAACAGGTCAGCACTTGTGACTTTGAAGTCTACAAAGTCTACAAAAGCCTCCAGCGGAGACCGGTTGGAGGGTCCTAGTACACCTAGATTCACCATCATGTTCAAGACGTTCAACCACTCCAAAACCATCCCAAATCGAAAAAGACACAAACAGAAGGTAAGTGGTTCAGTCCCCCAAACAGGTCCCACTGGGTCCCACCCTGTAGTTCATTTGGAGTCATCCAGTGAGCTCCCGCACTCCATCGGGCACCACCAGCAGGATGCTCAGCTTCGCAGGGCTCAGCTGGCTCCGAGGCACGGCGCCTGCGAGTCGCACGACGGACGACCCACTCCGAGTGGCGATGGACCGCTCGGACCGGAGCAGTGCGCCCAGTGTGTTCCAAGCAACGGAGGCTCTGAGAGCATGGGACGGGAAATGGGAATCCATCTTTCTAGGGATCCAGGAAAGTACATAACACCACTGAGACATGTAGGTGCCAAGTCACGTCGGGTCCAGGAAAGTAACGGAACCAGGTCGGTTCGGTACGAACACCTGGATCCCGGTCTGGAAGAGCTGTCTGTGGAGTGGTTCCGAATCGATGTCGAGGTGCAAAGAATCGTTCAAACTTGGGTGTCGAGGCCACTGAATTGGCGGGGAAATTGAACTTCGGTTAGGAATGGGATATGATATTATAGTCCGATCGTTCCCAAGTAAAACACAGGACGAAAAACACCTGCCGCCCCTGGGACGTGTACTTGTTCCTTTTACCACAAGTGTTTCTCCCATAACATGTTTTCCATACATAAACGTCAGGAAAGCCGGGCTAAACACAGTGCATGTTGCTTAAGTGGGTAATTCAACCATTCGCCTTGATCAAAAGTATGAGACAACCCTGGCATTGCCGGACAAAATCTGTTTTGACCTGTATGGACAACATGAGTGTCTATTGCATCTTGTACCGGCAGTCATCCCAATTCTCTGGTCCTATACGAGCTGGGGGCTATTGCACAGTGTCTCCAATCACCTTCTGAGAAGGTACTTGGATCCCTAGGGCATCTGAGTCTTGTATCATCATCATCTGACAGGGTCCGTCCTGACAGGCTGCTTCTCTCACATCCCATCAGTCATTGCCACCCTCCTGCAGTTTCGACTCAACAATACCACCACCCCACACACACGCACACAAAAAGAAGTCTAAGTGATGTTGTTCAGGTCAACTGTTCATCAGCCATGACCCTGAGCCGTGCGCACGGCTTGTGGCAGACCGGAAAAGGCCAGAGTCCCTTGTCCCTAACCTTTCAGGACAAACAAAAAACAAGAAATTGGCCACGAAACATCTTTAAATCCAAAGTTGAGTCAGGAATTCCAGTGAGATGATGATGATGATGATGATGATGATGATGATGATGATATCAAACCTGGACCATCCGAACTCGGCATCTCCTGGCTAGATGGGCATTATATATTTGGATGAGCCTGTTCTTGGCTTCTGCGGACTTGTATAGATTTGTGATGTATTCTTCATTGCTTGATCTTTGAGCTTTGAGCTTTAAACCCCCACCAAAACAAACTGGGATCCAAAGATGCGTCAAGCCGCTCTTGGAAAAACAACAACTGTGAGGAGTTTCCAAACGAATCTTCCTTCTACCCTCCATACCCTCCATGTAGATCGGTTGATTCATCCAAACACACTTAGATGGTACAACGCTATTACATGGCCATACATGGCCATGGTTTCTCTATATCTGGAACCCGAGTGGAACCCCCATACCTTAGAAAATGGGACACGACGTGAACAAAATAGAGGTACTTACGGGTACTCATTTCTCGGAGGTCCTTACACGGGTCGACTCATGACTAAACAGCCTCATTTTCACGCCCAAACACCCCACCCTTCGAACCCCCAGGTGCTTCTCGAACTTCCTTTTTGGGAGCCCTTCCGAACCCGAACGCTCCTCGCCGGTCACCGAGCCCGGGCGGCCGTGCCGCCACGTTCCCGGACGGAGTTCGTGCCCTGCCTCGATGGAGAGTCTCCCCGAAGCGCTTCAAGTTCGGTCGGGAGCGGCGCTCCTGGAGAAGATGAGTGAAATCCGAGGAAGATTCAGGACGAGGTCATGTGTTCAGGTATAGAATGGATTAGAATGGTATAGATTGTCCTTTTTCATAGTTATCATACCTGCGACTTCCTTGTGCTGCTTTTTTTCTTGAGTTTCAGATAAAACTGTAGTTTCAGTGGAACGGCAGAAATTTCTGTCTCCGGACAATTTTCAGGTTTTCAGTACATTGATGTACATTGGAGAACCTGGTGACTTGTACATGACATTGATATGCCCCATTGATCCTTTCTCACCACTATATCCACCATGTGTATTAACTATAGCGCCGTCTTGAGATCTTGGCTCACAAGATCTTCTATCTTGTCTGGTGCACGGCGCCAGCTGCTCCAACCGTGCCCTGCGACGGCTTCTCGTGCGCCACGCTTTTTGTCCGCTGATCCAGACTCCAGCCATCTGCTATCCGACCTGAGCAGGTACACGTATGGCTTGGTGAGAAGAAACTTCATCTTGCTTGAGGACTGTTGAGTGGTCATAGGGTGGAACGCATCCAAGGAAGTTTTCACACAAAGCTGCCTTGTAGCCATTTCCTTTTGGTCAAACTTTGGTAGAGAAAGGTGCTTGAAACATGGCATTTGCGGATTCGGTTGACTTGGAGCTCATGGCCGATCTCCCCCGCTTTCTCGAAAGTGATTATCGCATTCGTGATCGGTTTAGGGAGGATGGTATGCTGACCCGGTGGCTTGATGAAAAGGCTGTCGGTGTTCCAAGTTGCCCAGCTTCAGCTCTAAATGCTGTTGTGTTGGAGAAGCTTGCTTTGTGGTGGACCTCCCAACAAGATGATCCTTGCAGCATCCCCATAGACCTTCTGCGACGTGAGGCCTGGGTCCAAACCAACTATACAACAACAAGAGGTTTTAGAGTTAACTTTTTGCAAATCAAATCGCCTGTGGTCCACTGTTCTTTGTCCTCGATCACCCCTCTTCAACCGGCACAGGTTGAGAAAACAAGGGCGCTGATGACTCTCGATGACAATCCTCGATGTTTGGCTGTCGACGCTTGGGGTCTGAAGCGTCTGTTTGCTCACCAGCTCCGACGCTGGGCTTCGGGCGCCACAACCCCTCGGGATTCTTGTTTTGATATTGGGCAAGCTTTGAACCAAGAAGCTGGAAGGATAGTTGAGAACGTCAGTTTCCACAAGCTAGAAAACCAGTTCTGGGCACAACCCCGTAAACATCCTCAATCCCACTACTCCTGTGACTCTGTGAGGACACCCGACTTGCTGAACTCTGGCGAATCTTCGACCATTCTTGGGGGCGCAGCGATGGCGATGCCAAGGGTGATGCTGCCAATGGCGATGCTGCCGCTGGTACCCCACTTGCCATTGAGGATGGTGAGGTTGGAGAGGTTGAGGATGGGTATACACTGGCAGAACCACTAGAGTCAGAGAAAGACAAGTGCCCCGTCGAGGCCTCCCAGGAGCTCTATTTGCCTTCATCGCCTTCCGTCGAGTGTGTGAAGACCCCTGGCCCTCCGACTCCTGCAGCCACTGAGGATGAGGCTGAAGAGGGGAGCGAGTCTGGTCTTAAAGATGCTGATGCGGCCGCCGCGCCTGATGGGCAACCGGACAAACTCGAGAAGGAGAAGGTTGATGATTTTATCATGATGATTGCGACCCGCCAGCAGCCGACTCATGATGGTGGCGTGGAGGATTTGAAAACTCTCCACAGTCAAATGATGGCCCGTGCGTGTGTCCTAAGGCCATGAAGTTGTGGAAAAGATGTCAAATAAAAGGGGTGTGTGTGTGTGTGTGTCTGTGTTTGTGCATGTTTGCCTTTAGGCATGTTTCCCTGTGGAGGGAGAAGCTTAAGAAGCGGGACCTTCTGCGTGAGACCAGCTCCTGCATCTTGGTGGTGTCCCTCAATTGAAGCTTTTAATTTGGAGTTTGGAGTTTGGGGAAAACAAATAATGAATAGGTGGGGGTGGGAAACTCAGTGGCCAAGCAAGGCACCTCGCCGGATAACTTGACAACGCTCCCCTTCAACATAGACGAGGTCCCGTTACCCCCGCCCAGCTTTGAGTCCATCAACGTCGACAGTGACCCTGAGCATGATTCGGAGGCCAAAGACCAGAAGGATACAATTTGGGCAGCTATTTTTCAAAAAAAGAATTGGGTCGAAAGCACAATGCACTCCAGTTTAATTGTTTTGTCGCGAATGGTTCCTGATTCCTGACTATGGACCCTTGTTCAGGAGGTACGCTTGGAAGCCAGTTCTGCGGACAAGGATGAGCTGGTCCCTGCACTTTCCACTGGCCCGGCCACCAGTGAGAGCCAACCAGGTGCCACTCCAAACAGCGCTGAAAAGAAGGATGAACCGGTTCTTGAACTAGCTACCACCGGTGCTGCTGTTCTAGACAGCGCTGAAGAGAAGGATGAACCAGTTCTTGAACCAGCTACCACCGGTACTCCCACTACGAATGGTCCAAAGATGGAGAACACATCTGATTTGCTGAACTTGAACGCAACTCAGGCTCAAGATAAAATTAAGTATTGAACATTCCCTTGGCTATCCTTGTTTTGCAAGTTTTTAGGGTGTTGGTGTATACTAGTGGTCCTCCTCGTTTCGTGTGGGTTATTGTTTCATCGCCTCAGGTACCGCTCCTCAACAGGATTGAACAGCATGCTGCCTTTCCAAAGCCGAAAGAGGACAAGCAGAAAAGGAAGGCCAAGGGTAAAGGAAAGGGTGGGGAGAAGCCAGTCAAGAAGAAGCCAGCCAAGAAGGAGACGAAGAAGGGAGGGCGAGTTGCAAAGCGGCACGCGACAAAGGCTGGTGAAGAGGACCAAGAGAAGGATGAGGACGTAGCAGTTCCACGTCCGAAGCGGCAAAGAAAGAACGCTCGTGAAGAGAAAGACCAGGAAAAGGATGTTGAGGCAGCAGCTTCTGGCCCAAAGTGTGAGAGGAAGAAGAAGGGCCAGGAGAAGGATGAGGAGGTAGCACCCTCACGCCGGAAGCGGCAGAGGAAGCAGGCTGGTGAGGGGAAGGAGGAGGAGAAGGAGGAATCCAAGCCGAAGAAGAAGCCAAAGACTTTTGCGGGGCGCTACATTCCAGAAGCTGATGGTAGCCCAGGCAGCTTGCGTTTTGAGGCCATCATGAAAGTGTTCTTCGAAAAGATCAATGATAAGGTCGGACCTCCATCCAAGCATCAGGTGGGGGGACTTGAAAAAGTTCCATGAGCAAGACCAATGCAACTTTAGAACCTTACAAAGATGTTGAAAGGATACAAAGGGTTTAGTTTAGACCGGAATCCCAAAGCTAAAGGTGTCCTTCAACCTCTCTTAAGTTTTTCAAGAAGTATCCCACAAAGTCCTTTGTACTACAGCAAGACCCGTTTTTGCTTTCAACTGACATGTTATGACTTGTTAGCCCCTGACTCCCTGACAGTTGCTTTTCTTCAAGTTCTGCATGCTGAAGGGCTTCTCCGAGCTACCTGCATCCGCCACCTTTCTGGCTATCTACGAGCGGGCCGTGAACATGGCCACCGAATATCTGAAGCAGTCCAAGGTTCCTCGTCTAGAAATCCTATTCAAAATTGATACCGACGTTAAGGATTCTTAACGTGGGTATCGCTTTTGCGTTCTCTTCACCTCTTTTGGTACCTGTGGTGGTTGCGCCCATTCTTGTTAAGATCTCTGTTAACGCATCCCTCCATGTTCTGAGGAGAATGGAAAGACCATGGGAGGCAAGTGAGCCAACGGTTGTCATTTTGTGTCCAGGGCCTGTCACACCTTCCTGAAGCGTTATGTGTGTGACCTGCCTTCGCTGAGTTGGGGTAACTGAGACATTATCCTGTAGAAAGCTCGTGGCCTAGAAGCATTTTGATGACCTCCTCTGCAATCTGTCTGTAGAACGAATACTTTTGAGATCTTTTGAGCTTCAACCGCAGCTAGATTCTGTTTGCTATCTAGTTGTGCTTCGCTAAGTAATCCTTTGAGTGAGGATCCAGGGGAGGCTCCTTTAGGACTCAGGGGGTCCACAATAGGATGGACCTATTGTGGCAGCCTTGTAGAGAGTTTCAAGGTGATAGCCGCGGGCAGATCGGGACAAAAGCCTGGAGGGTTCGCAAGCGCAGGGCATCTACTAGAAGTAAAAAGAACAATCTTAGCCCGGCCCTCACTCCAGGAGTGATGGCGCGGCACATGAACTGGCTGGCGAAGCTGGGTGGCTTGCAGGGTCGACCTGGCTCATGATTACATGTGCATGTTGGTGGCATTTTCTTGTGAGGAGGCTTTGCGTCCGCTATTGACCCGCAGCTGCCAGCAAAACGCTTAGCAGACTTGAAGTCAGCCCTGCCCCTTTGCGCAATGAACCCAATTGAGTTGGATATGCTGGTACGACAACTGATAGCCCTGGGAACCCCAAAGGACCCTGACTGTTCAACATTTTGTTGCATCAGCTCTGCTTGCGGGAGCTGCGCTTTCAATTCTTGTGAGGACTTCGTTTTGATCACCATCATGGTGTCCTGGATTGCTTGGCCTTCCAACCAAATGGATTTGGAATTCCTGGACATGTTTTGTGGAAAGGCGCGTTTAAGCAAGCTCGCGTCCTGGTGTGGATACCGATGTGCCGCCCATGACATCAATCTTGACACGCCCTCCTCAGAGAGTAAGCATACAGTGCACCCACGCTCTGCTTTTGACATCAATGGGGAATCAGGTTTCCTGTTTCTTGGATTTCTTGAGGGCCCTGTTTGGCGTATGTTATGATTTGCAGGGTGTGCTTTTCTCAGGGCACCGGCGTGTTCAGGTTGGCCTTGGGGTCAATCCTCAATGGCAAAGTTGCGGACCTGGTGGCGATGCTTGGGATTGTTTGCTCTAGCTGGTCCAGTGTGAATGTAGCTACAAGTAAGAGGAGTTGGCTCACGCCGTATGGGGACCAAACGCTCACTGGGGTTCGAGTGGGGAACCGCATGGTTGCCAGGCGAGGTGGTTACAAATTGTGACAAGTCATCAAGAAC